AATACCACTGTGATAATGGGAGCCCCCACTCTTCACAGCCGTACTGCCACGACACCAAACCGAAAGTCCGCCAGGTGACATTATCAAAGGCTTTCTGTGCGTCCATAAATAATAAAGCAATTGGTTTTTCCGTATATATCTCATAATACTCTAGGATATCCAAGATAGTTCTCAAATTATTCCTCTTTTAGGCAAAAAACCATTTTGGTCTGAGTGAATAAAGTCTATTAGAAACTTCTTTAATCTTTCTGCCATTATGGAGGCAAAAATTTTGTAATCCACATTTAATAATGATATAGGTCTATAATTTTGAATCTGCGTTAAGTCTGTATCTTCTTTCAGTATTAATGTAATATTTGCCTCTGCCCAAGCATTTGGTATTTTAGCATTTAACAGTGATGATTACATATATCTTTAAGAAGCGTAACAAAGAGTCCTTCAAAGGATTTATAAAACTCTGCTGGCAGCCCATCCGGGCCAGGAGTTTTATCATTCTTTTGCCACCTAATTGCCTCTATTACTTCCATAGTTGTTGCTTCTTGATTCAATACTTTTTGATATTTCTCCAGTAGTTTTGGTAAATCTCCCTTTCGGATGTATTCTTTTACTTTCTCAGTTGAGATCTCATCATTCTGATATAGCTTTGTAAAAAAATCTTTCACTATTTTTCTAATATGTATACTTTGAACTTGTAGTCGTCCTTCTCCATCCTTCAATTTAGAAATCAGTCTCTTCTCCCTCTCTTTCTTTACTTTATAGACTAACCATCTCCCTGGTTTATTAGCATTTCAAAAAAAATCTGTTTGGCCAATTTCATTTGCATAGTAAGCTCATTTGTGTCCAAGAGATTCAATTTATGCTTTAAAATATTCATTTGGACCTTAAGGTTTTTTTTGGATGGATCCTCCATGCATGTTTTGAGGAACATGCACACAGATGCTTTCATTGCCCATTGAATGTATTGAATCAGCACCAGAATACTGGCCATGCAAAGGTGAGAAGTAGAAATGCGAAGGCTTGGGAGAAGAGACAGACAAAATGGAGGGAACTGGAAAAATGTGGGGCGGAAAGAAATAGCTTTTTTGTTTTTAGTTCGGAGGAAAAAGAATTTCCCTCCGTTTTGTTTTCTCTTCCTTTCCAAGCTTTCATATTTCAAGTTAGGAGTGGAGCCAGAAAACACACTCCCACCCCCATGTTTTCAGTCTGCACATAAATATGGAAGTGAGAATATGTGCAACCTGTTCCACTGATTGCACAGATTGTGTGCATATGTCCATGGGAGGGCCGCTGCACACTAGACATGTGTAAAGTGTGGATGCTGGCTCCCTTCCCCACTTCCCTCATACCTTAAAAGTGTTCAAATTCAAAATAGTGATGATGATGAAAATTATATGTCACCTAATGTATTAAAAAGCCATCAAGATGGTGAACAATAATTTGAAAAATAAAAGTAGGAGTGGATGCTTATTACATTGCATTGACATCCTGCTTTTTCTCTTCTGGGAAACTTCAAGCAGCTTACATTGCTCCATTTTATCCTCACGACAACCCTGCGAGGTAGGTTAGACTGGGAATGAGTGACCAGCCCAAGTCACCCACTGAGTTTCATGGCTGAGTGAGGACCAGAACCTGGATCTCCCAGGTCCCCAGTCCAATATGCTAACTTCCACATCACATTGGCCCTGATGCCTGCTGACTGGCGTATCAGCCTGCAATGGCTGAGTCCGTTGCCTTCAGCCAGTTTAGGGGCTCAAACTATATGAAATGCTGGGCCTGTCTGCATATCACAAGAGGCAGCCATGGCTTAATTCATCCACAAGACTGATCAACTGTGCCAAGCTCCAACAAGAGGCTTGTTGGGTGGCTTCCCCAGGCACCCGCCTTGCTGTGGCTTCATGCTAGCCCAGAAGGCAGGGATTGGCTGAGAATTAGATCACCATTCTAATGAGGGTCGTCAACACAAACAATTCCTGAGGAGGCAGTGGCAGAAGCATAAAGTGGGGTTAGGGAAAGAATAAAAAATGGTCTGCAATGCTCTGTTTCATAAAAGGCATGCTCCAAAAGAGCTTCCCTGAGATGCAGCAAATGGAGGCACCATTTGGGGGGGGGGGGTCAAAAGAAACAACATGCCCCTCCATGCATTGCCATTGGTGTCATTTTATTCCTTAGGACTAGCTGTATTTTGGCCTCTGATGTGAGTGGAGCTCAAGGCTCAGGGGTTCTTCTCATAGTTGCAAGACTGGATCAGAGGCTTCCATGAGACAATGCAAAAAAACCCCACTCTGAGCAAGCCATAAGTATGATTTGTAATAGCTTATTAACATCTCATACAAAGTCTCATGCATGTCCCAAGGGCACAGCTATATGTACCTGTCCCATACTAGCTGCCCACCAAGACCCAAAGGACTTTGTAGCAATCACAGGGTCCTAATTACATTAGTCGCAATCAAAGGGCAATTAGTGCAGCAGCGCCATTGATGCACAATTCCAGGGCCTTGGATTGCCCATCAGCTGGCTTCTCCAAAGCTGGGGGCTGGGGAGACATGCAGGTTGCAACAGGAGGCATCACACAAGGACCTGCTGGGTCAGTCCTGCATATTGTTTTCAAATGGCCCCCAGATGCCTCTGGGAAGCTCCTTAGCAGGACATGGAGGCAAGGTCTGCCCCTTGCTTGTTCCCAGCTCCTGGTGTCCAGATGGCTGCTGCACATAGAGGTTCTGTTGAACTATTGTAACTAACAGCTCACCTCTCCACCATGGATTGTATTATCTCTCCTGAAGGCATCTAAGCAAGCCCCTCTCAGGGAAGTGGTATTAGACTCTCTTCCATACGGTGGCTACACATTGTGTCAGGTAGTCATCAATCCTGAATCAGCTGCCCATCACCTTCACTGGAGGAAGCCTTGAGGTCTAGTATTTGGCCAATGGGTGCTAGAGAAATTTAGTGGATGGGTGGATGGATGATAGAGTAATGAGAGCAGTAGAAAAATGTCCTTGTCTGCACACCTTGTCTTTTGCAACAGGATTCCTGTATCACCACAAAGGAATAGTCATATCTAGAAGGGTAAAAGCCAGTGTTCAGTAACTCAGGTCAGGGACAAGATCTGACCCCCTGCTGGTGGGTCCCATTCCAGCTCCCTGGGGCTTCCAAGGTGGCCATGACCCTTCCATTGGCTCTCATTCTAAGGCTGAAATGTCTCTCCTAAGGTTTAGTTATTGGTAGGAAGACCTTTAAGCCAAAATATGCTCTCTCTCTTTTGTACCTCACCCACCACTGCCTCTGAAAGCTTCTCCCAGGCTGAATTCACCCTTCAGGATGAAAGAGATTCTGCACCTCTGAGTTAGATCCAGCTAAGATTAAAGCTCTTTTATTGTCAGTGTGACAGTCACCACACTCCTGTCCTTCAAACACCTGTGCTATGCTCAGGCCAGTAGCAACAGGTGACTTCATTGCTTGCTCAGTTTTTGTTTCATGATTTTGCAAATTTGCACCCTCCAAAATTAAGTTAGTACAAAAATATGCATGGATTGTTATGTGCATTTCTCCTTATCTGTATATATTCTTTTAGATACAATAGTCCTAGAGCAGGCTCTTTTTGCATACAGCCTTCCTCCATACAATAGCTTTTTGCACATACATCTCTCTAAAATATGCATTTTGTGCCAACCTTTCTTTACTTTGCAACCTTTCTTTACTTTGCAACATCGTTGCACAAATTTGGTGTGCAAATGTGCTCCAGCTCACATATAATTTTGGGAGGGTTCAAACTGGGCACATCAGCCTAAAATTGGGGCCAAAAGAAATTTCTCCTTCATCCCTGCAGGCCAAACATGGCAACAGCCTTTGTTCAGAGCAGCCGCAAGCAATGCTGTGGCTCTCCAGTATGTCATTTCTTATTTTAAAAAAGCCACAGTGAACAACCAATGTGGGACTGAGACTGTGTCAGGTGGTAAAAACCCTGCACTTCTTCCACAACCAGCAAGGCAGAAAGCTTGCCGCAAAATCCACCCATCCCGTACCTAACAGACCTTTTTGTTTCCCATCTTCTGGATTTGCACCTAAACTTCCATTTGTATCACCAAGTCAACACTTCAGGCAGAAAATATCTGCAGGAGGCCAAGTAGGGGGAGTCTGTTAGAACAGTCCACGGGGTGAGCTGTGAGGGTAGGAGGTCTCCCATGGACCTGAATGCAGAGACTCACTGGGCCTGCTGCAGAGGTGACGAGTCACCTTGTAGAGGTAGCTGCAGCAGGTCAAGTTTTGCAAAGGCCTCTCCTTAGGCCAGGAGGTTCCTGCTCTTCTGAGGGGTTTGCCTTGACAATAGAGGGCCATGATTGCTGGAACTTTATCTGGGAGACAAGGCCTGGGGCTGCCACCCATGGAGCACCACTCCTGGAGTGCTCTCAGGAAAACACCTGTTCTGCCTGAAAGCCCAGTCTCTCAAGGCAGCTGGCATGCCTCAGGAATTGAATGCTCACATATTGATCCCTCAAAGTGAAAAAACATTTTAAAAAAACCCACTTGCCCAAGAGGGAATGGTAACCAATGGATACACTGGAGTCACCTCAACAGGCATATATACAGTGCAGCAGCTTCAGCACATCTGCACACATCAGTATCCTGTGTTGAGGACAGATCTATTTATTTATTTATTTATTTATTTATTTAAAACTTTTGTGTACCGTCCACTACCAAATGGTCTTGGTTTTGACATAATTATGCCACACAAAAGCATGCACGCTTGCAAACTTGCTTGCATCCCACACTTCTTGGTCTTGCCTGGCCCCCTTCCTCTGACCTGAACCTCTCCCCCTCCTTTTCCACACCTGCTGGCAGTCTCCACCATGAGAGGCTGCACTCTAGGTCAGAGGGTGGGAGGCGACTGGTGAAGCCGCACCCCCCACCCACATATACACTCAAACACACACCCAGGAGGAAACAGATTGACGTCAACACTGGCTTAAAAGTTTGAGGGGGAAGCGCAGGAGGGATCAGGAGAGATGGACAGTGAACGAGCGAGCAAGAGGAAGGGCTCCAGGTTCACCGACCCCTATCCTGATGCAGTTAGCTCCACAGCTGGTAAGTTGGAGAACTTTTGCCTACAGGCAGCAGGGTCACTGTGAGGGCATCTAGACTGGGTGATCAACAGGACAGGGCAGGTGGGGTGGCTGGGGAAGAAGCCACCCAGTCTAGGAAAAACAGCAGAAAATAACAGGACACTGCGCCAGGGGCTCCTGGGTTGAGGATATCAGAGCCTGAACATGAGCCTGGAGAAAAACATTGAGGCAAGCAGCTAGCAGTCTGTTAAAGCAGCCTCCCCCAATGTGACACCCACCAGTGTGTTGTGCTACAACTTTCCTTACCCCCAGCCAGCACTGGGCCATTTGCCATGCTTAGGGATGATGGAGGCTGTAGTCCAACAGATCTGGAGGGAAGGCAGGTACTTTTAAAGCTGTTGAGAAGCACCTGTAACTTTCTTTTGAGACCTAAGCAGGTATACAGTGGTGATATATTTTGCTGTTCTGTTAAATTGGACAATGTCTTCTCCTTCCACTAATTTTTGTTTAAAACTTTTGGAAAGCTTTGAGCTTTAGAGAGAAGTCTAGATGGATGGATGGATGGATTCTAGGGCTGTGAGATGGGAAATGGGGTTTAGATAATAATATCAGGGTTGTTTATCTGGGTACTGCCTGTGGTGTCATTGATCTCTTTTATCCATCTCTCTCAAGCTGATCACCAGCCTAGTACAGACTCCCTGGTGATCCCAGATGCAGTTCCCTGAAACCAGCAGCAGGGGGTGGTGCTTGCATTTGTGCATCTCCACACTGTGCTCTTCAGATGGCTGCATTAGTGTGGGGCAATCTCTGCAGAGCTGGGGCCAGGCCTCCTTTGTTTGCTGCAAGACAGAGCAGCTGGCCTGCTGAATGCAGGACTCCCAAGTCTAGTGCTTAGCCCTGAGGTCGTTCAGTGTGATTTTGGCCTGAAGCTCCTGTAAGAGGGGAAAGTTTGCCACAGCCTGGGCAAAAGCAGGGTAAGGGGAAATTCATTTTCTGCATGAAAGCCCTGAAGGAGTCAAAGTGTACTGCTGAGGACTGGGAGACCAAAATAGGCTAGGCAGGGCAAGTAATCCCCTGGAACAGGTTCTCCCCAAACACCAGGATGTACACACATTAATGAGAAAGCCATTTGGCTCCAATCCTGGGGCTCGAGTTCCTCCATAGTGGGGTCCCAAATTAATTAGTTTTTCAGGTGAGTCCATTGTGCTCCCCTTGCTCTCACGATCTCAGGTTCTCCAAGAGACTGGGGGCTGAAGCATCATGTTCCCCACGGTTAATCCTAGGGATTGTAGGAGGGAATTGGCAGTGGCGGTGGGGCAGCAGGGAAACACTGTCACCATCATGGCGCTTTGTATGGCTCAAAAGGCTCACAGTCCCCGGCTTCCCCAGCTGCTGTCCTCTCCAGCACAGGAATATTGAAAAGGCCCGCAGAAGAGGTAGAACAAGAGAACCTTTCTGAATAAAAAGGAGTTGTGACACAGATTTTGCATACCTAAATTGGGTAGCCACCCACAGTTTGTCAGATGAATTGGATGGCAACCCCTAGCAGACCCAGCCACCCTGGCCGATGGTTAGGGATGATAGGAGTTGTAGTCCAAAGCATTTAGTTCATTGCCAAGATCAAAATGAACAAAATTAATTCATACCAATTTGCTTCTCTTGAGCAATTTCTTTGGGAGGCCCCCACAGTGCAGGGAGGAAGGCCCTATCAAACATGTTCCTTCCTCCAATGGTTTCTCAACCAAAACTCACCTGCTCTCAGTTGGTCAAACTACACATGGCATGAAATGCATTTATTGGCGCTCCTCCAGCCTTTCCCTTTAGGAGGGGGCGACTGACAAGGGGGCAGCACCACTTGTCCCTGGCCTCCCTCTGCAGCTTCTTGGCTCCAAAGAGAGCCCTTGCAGCATCCCTTCCTCCATGCAGGGTTCCCTGGGTTCCTTATAAGAGGAAAACAGGTAGGGTATAAATGACATAATGCATCTTGCTATTACTTAAGGAGCTCAGTGAGGGTTACATGGGGCTGTCCCCTTTTATTTTCACAACAGTCGTCAGAGGTGAGCTGACGAGCAGCTGCAGAGGTGAGCAGCTGCAGAGGCAGATGACCTTGCAAAAAGGTATTTGTGCATGTGATTTTGCAGGCACCTGGTGTGCTCCAAACCAGAGTATCATTAATGCACAATCCAGCATGTAAATCCCCATATGCTGAATATTTGCTAGTCCCAATGGATTTCCAGAATCAACAGGGGCCATGGAGCTGTTTTTGTGCCAGAACAGTGGCAGGAGCCCTTAAACCCTGCAATGGGAAGTCACTTCTCTCACTGCTGCTGGAAAAGCCTTGAAACAGGGCCAGCTCCATTCTTAGGGCTCATTCATCCATGTTTGTACCTCATTTAATTTCTCTGCATTTGATGAGTGCCCACTGAGTGAGCAAACAGACACCACTGGAAAGCAATGCACCAGAGGTGCTGTGGCAGTCCGAGCTAGTTACAGTGTTAGTTAGAAGAAGTGACTGTATCGCTTGCTGAAAGCCGCATGGGTTGATGTGAGAGAACCATCTTGTCTGCATCAGTCTCCACCATACTGAGCCTGCAACCTCATCAGATGCCTAATATACAAACCTGCTGGGCAGGCAGACAAGCAGGCATACCATGGCACATCAGGATCATGAGTCCCGTCGCACTCCCATCCTGCCTGTGGGTTTCCCACAAGCATCTGCTCAGCCACTGTGTGAACAGAATGCTGGACTAGAGAGGCCTTCAGACAGATCCTGCAGGGCTCATCTTGAAGAAGACCCAGGACACCCTATGAACTATCTGGATTGGGTGCATACACCCTCCTCCTTCTCCCTACAACCCCATCCATAAGATGTTTGTGTAAAAATGCCCTAAGAGATGTATAGCCAAATCCCAATTACGCTTACTCAGAAATAAGTCATAATTGTTTAAGCAGTGTGTGCATAGATGGTTCAATGGAGAGAGAATTTCCAAGTAGTATTCTTCCAAGTAAAAAGAGTATGAAACTGTTTATACAGTCTTTTGCTTCTTTCCAGATAAATGTATATACTGGGATGCCAAGGTAATGGGTACTGAATCTGGACTGGGGGGAATCTGCAACCAAATCCACATTCAGCTATGGATAACTTAGTTTAGGCCTGTTAGTTTATCTCAGCCTAATTTACAACACGGGGTTGTTAGGGGAGAGTACCACATATAGCACCCAGAACTCCTTGTGGGGGAAGATGATCAAAATGAATAAATATTGTGGGTGTTCCCACTATGTGTTGAGAAAAGAGAAAAGAACACATACCCATAGATAGCTGCACAGAAGAAAATCCAAGGGCACAGCATAAGTATAAATGCAAACTGGAATCAGTGGGCCTTCACATGTATGTATGTATGTATACAGTATGTGTGCATGCACACACACAAATTTGATCTCTATAAGGATAAGGAGTCATATTCCACCCTGAAGGGTGTAATTGGGCCACAGTCACAGATGCCTGGATCCCCACTACCCTGCCAAGCAATCCCCCTGAACTGAATACTTCTTTCCTCTCAGATAGCAGCAGTGAGAAAAGAGCAACACTGAAGCACAGCTTCTACTCCCTCTCCCAGAGACCCTCCCATGGATCAGTCTTTCCCTGCTGCTACTCCCAGTACAGAAGAGCAATCTCCATCAGGACCCCCAAGACTGTGTGCATGTGTGTGTTTTGGGGGGTGTACATCTGCAAGCAGCCCTGACCCCTGATCCAACATCACACATGGCTTTGGGCAAAAAAAAAAAAGCTTATGCGCTCATGAGTCACAGGGAACACAACCAAGACCTCGTACAATCCACAGTCAGATCAAGACAGCACAGAATCATAATAACTTCTATCAGCCACAGAATGTAGCATCCTAGGAAAAAGCTTTCTTCTCTCCTACCCCATTTTTAAAAAAAGTTTCTAGTCCTTAAGTTCTTAAGCAAACATTCTGAAATGTATGTAGGCAATAGCTAGTGAAAACTCAAAAGGCAAGATTCTCTAGTAGTTAAAGGACAAGAATTCAGTGCTATGCATGCATGATTGGAAAACAACATGAAAGTCAGTGTGGTGCAGAGACAAAAATGTCAGATTAGGACTCTGGTCCCCACTCAGCCATGAAGTACACTGGACGACTGTGGGCCAGTTTCAAACTCTCAGCCTAATCCACTTCACAGGGTTGTTGCTGTGAGGCTAAACCAGAGAGGAGGAAATCTAATGAGCTGCCATGTGTTCCTTGCAAGAGGAAGAAAAGCAATGTAGTGTAATAATAAGAAATTAGCAACTATCTGCAAGCAGGCTTAGTTTATATAGGTCCCAGGTTTCAACTATTCTAGAAATAGCTTTTTCAAAAAAGCACAGGGAACATGCAGAGTACTTGAACTATGTTCTGATTTTAATTGGACACTTCAAGATATAAGCAAAGAGAAAGAGGTTGAGTAAATCTGGGATGGGAGGGTTGGAATAGTTCAGCTGGCAAGGGCATGGGCTTGACAGAGGTTATGGAAATCTCAAGATCTGAATATAGATAACATTTGAGTATCAGCAGACCTCCTTGTTTCCTTGCAGATGTTGAAGGCCCACTCTACAAGAAGTTCTCCAGTGCGCTAGCACTAGCTGGGGGCTCACTGCTTTCTCCTGCAGCCCCTTCCTCCCTGCACACAGCTGCCAGCCCTGCCCGTCGACGGCACCGGACTACCTTCAGCCAAGACCAGCTAGACCAACTAGAGGCAGCATTTGTGAAAAACCACTACCCTGACATTTTCTGTCGGGAGGAGCTGGCTAGGACCACCAAACTCAATGAGTCTCGCATTCAGGTACCTGCACCAGAGAGCCCAGAGAATGTGGCTAATGTTGTACTGGACACATTCAAAATGGCCTGCATGAGGCCATTTTGGAGGTGCTCTCAGGGCCACATCCCAGTGGAGGACAAAGCCAAAATCCCAGCTTATTTTAGTTTACAGCTCAGGAAAGGCACCTTTTAGAATGTGTGTGTGGGGGGGTGCAAAAGCTGGGAAACCACCAAATACTTGTTGGTCGAGGAAATGGGCCCCAAGGAACTGGCTGGAAACCCTGGAGGGTTGGACTGGCACCCAGGAAGGGTGGATTTTGCCCACAGGGTTGAGATTGAATACCCTCCTTTATACCATTGCAAGACAAAGAACGTTTTCTTTTTTACCAAGCTGAGAATCACATTCTTCCCTTTAATGTTTTGAACTCCAACTTAATTTCCTCACAATAAACCAGTATCTTACTCATTGCTCTGTTGAGCCTATGGATTTGAAGGCTGGCATTTCCTTAATGAATGTGTATTCTATTGGTAAAGAGATACCTTGATACTCTTTGAGAAACTGAGACTGCTCCAGGGAGGACACAAAGGAAAGCCTGAACATGGCCAGCAACATTTTACCCCCAATTTTTATAAAACTATTAGCCAATGAACCACCTGAGTGTGCAAAATCCAGGAAGTCTCTAAGAAACCTCACTTGGCCCCTCATATTTCCCACAATTCCATTCAATCTACATGCTAGGAGCAAAGCAGCTTTTTTCCAGCTTTATAAGAGCTAGCCATGGTGCTGACCCCTAATTGGACATGGTGTTCAGCACCATGGATAGTTCCTAGAAAGCTCAGGAGAAAAGCTGCAGTGCATGAGGAGCTGTGCTGACATGAAAGTCACTGGCCTCTCTATCTACCTATAATATGCCATATATAAATAAGCAAGAGCTTCCATAGCATTTCCTTCTATTGGCTGTACCCAGGTAGAGACAGACAGACAGCTTGAACAGAGACAACCAATGTACCTAACGAGCGCATCATCAAATGCCCTGCCTTCTGCTGCTGTCTCAACTCCTGATTCCGGAAAATCCCAAAAGGCCAAGATGACCAATTTACACATTATCTGGGGCAATTTTCTTCTATGTGTACCCACTGCTGTTCAAATATTTTTCCCTGGGCATAGCTTTCACTATATGCATTTGCTCTGTCTTTGCCTTGGCAGGTTTGGTTCCAGAACCGGCGAGCAAAGCAACGGAAGCAGGAACGGGCCCTCCCCAAAACAGGCACCCCTGGCAGATTCTCTGCATGCCCCACGCCTGCACCTCAACCCCGAACGTACCAATACCACCCCGCTCTTGGGTCCCATCACCACCTGCCCTGTTTCCCTTCCAGCTACACTCTGCCTCCCCCTCCTCCCCCTGGTCCTGCTGCCCAATTTCCTTGTCCTGTGTCCCACCACTCCCAAAGCTCCCATGCGCATGAGGACTGGTACAGCCCGCTGCATGCCATTGGCTCCGCTGCTGCAGCCCCATCCCCTGCCATGTTCTCTCTGAGTCTTGAACCTGGCACCCGCTGGAACTAAGGGTCCAGCAACACAGCACAGGGAGAGATGGTCATAAACTACCCAAAGATATACTTCATTGCCTTGTTTTTTCTGCCAGCAAGGCTTTCACTGAATAGTAATGCTGCATGGACTCCATCCTTCCAGTGATTAACTCTAGGTTGACAGTATAGGGCTAAGATCTCAAACATAATGCCCTGGCATTCCCATGCTCCTTGCTCCTCCTGATTTTAATTTTTTCATATATATTAAATTTTTAAAATATAGCTGATAGGCTGACACGCTGAAAAGTGAAATTTGGCCCTCCTCCACCTTCTTTATTTGGGCTGAAAAGAGAATTTTTGTGCTTTGAAGCTCATCTCACTGCTGCCTTCTGCTTAGGTGCCTGGGCAAGTTAGTTTTCTTTTGTGTTACCATTTCACTTTCTGGGGACTGAACAGGGCTGGCTGCGCCCACTGTGATGACTGTTCTGTGAGTAGGCACCTCCTGCGGCAGCCATTTTATGAGAAGGCCTTGTCGCTCCCTCAAAACTCCAGACGTGTTCACTGGACTAAAAGGGGGTCGCTGGCATATGGGGCAGAGGGAAGCACCACCACCTGCAGGGCAACTCAATGCTACCTCTGTTTGCCCCATGTTGACTTATCTGAGGAGGAAGGCCTGCACATTTGCCCCAGAATTTGGGCTTTTTTACTTCCAATTTTACATTTGGACTTTCCTCAAAGGATACTAGAGAGTGTGCTCAGCTCCTGTGCAATGTGGGGCCTCAACTTCACCCCACATGAGGACCCCTTGAGTGCAGCCTAGAAGAGACCCCCAGATCCCCAAGGTCTGGACAGCAATAGCCAATGACTACCACATATCAGTAATGGTGGGCAAGCTGTCTTCCAGGAAAGTTTGTCTATCTTTTTGATCTTAGGTGGGTTCCTAAAGTACTTCAGGGAGTCCTGATAGGGCTGTACAATTGTATCAGAATAAATGAAGAAAAAAAAAAAAGAATCAACTAGGATTCATTCACTCAGTTCAGAGATGCAAATAGATATGGGCATTGTTTGGAACTGCTACTCATATCATTCAGGACTGAGTAGGGATTTACCTGTCTCCAGCAGCAGTGATGATGGCAGGTGCTAAATGCAGCAGGAATTCTTGATAGCTGTCATTTCTTTTTCTAAAATACTCCTCATATCTTTCCAGGGTATTCAGGCAAAAATGTTAGCTGTATGCAAAGGCTGCCATTTTAAAGGTGGCAGACATATCTTTTGCTTTCATTTTTTGCAAAATAATCCAATGACTGGAATGTCGTGCAGGTGGAGTGGGAAATGGTAGCTGCTAGAAACAGATGCCAAACATAGCTCATATTTAATCTCCCCTGCCACTGCCACCACCTGTCACAGGAAAAGCAAAAAATAAAAAAGTGGGAGGAAAAACACAAACATATCCTCAAAATACAAAACCAAGTATGTATAAATTAAAATATAACAAGTATGATTTGTACAAATCAATAATGAAATAAATTCAAAGATTTTTTTAAGGTGAAAACACCTTGCATATCCCTATTCCCCAGATTCTTGTCTGAAAAAAAAGGTCCTTGTTGGCTGGGATTGATGAGAGTTGTAGTCCAGCACATCCAGAAAGCACTGCATTGAGAAACTAAGCCATTTTTCAGTTTAGCTACCCTTCTACTTCACCCATACAAGTGCTTAAGTTATAGAACCGAGTGGGGTTTACAGGTTTTCATTTGTGAAATGGAATGAATGAAAACAAAAACCTTCATGTGCATTAGTAGCACAAATCACTGGGGTACATCATACAACACAATTCACCCATGATAAGGCTGTGGTGCTTGTGGAGCTCCCGTGGGCCCCATTTTGATTATATGCTTTACCGTTATGCAAAGATTGTTTAAACTTTGCATAACCCACCCATGCCTGGCTTACACATGACAACCACAAAGTGGGGGGCAGGGTATATGCAACCTAGTACCTACAGGCTCTGCAGCTCATGATGAGTTAAATTCTGTGACAAACTAAAGGTTATTAATCTGTGGAACTTCTGAAATAGCAAAGCAGGCTATGACAATTTTAGGGACTTCTATTTTTTTAAGGTATAATCCTATGCAAGTTAGAAATAGAAATAGAAAAAAGTCCTACAACATCCAGCATGCCCCAGCAATCTAGGCCTTTTTCTGTCTGGAGTAGCATAAGACTGCACTTTTAGTGTTTGTTGTTGTTGCTGTTGTTGTTAGTTGCGAAGTCGTGTCCGACCCATCGCGACCCCATGGACAACATTCTTCCAGACCTTCCTGTCCTCCACCATCCCCTGGAGTCCACTTAAGCTCACACCAACCGCTTCAGTGACTCCATCCAGCCACCTCATCCTCTGCCGCCCTCTTCTTTTGCCATCTATTGTTCCCAGCATTAGGCTCTTCTCCAGGGAGTCCTTCCTTCTCATTAAGTGGCCAAAGTATTTGAGTTTCATCTTCAGTATCTGGCCTTCTAAAGAGCAGTCAGGGTTGATCTCTTCTAGGACTGATAGGTTTGATCGCCTTGCGGTCCAGGAGAGTCACAGGAGTCTCCTCCAGCACCACAATTCAAAGGCCTCAATCCTTCGGCGCTCAGCCTTCCTTATGGTCCAGCTTTCACAGCCATACATTGCAACTGGGAAAACCATAGCCTTGACTATACGCATTTTTGTTGGCAGGGTGATGTCTCTGCTTTTTAATATGCTATCTAGATTTGCCATAGCTTTCCTCCCCAGGAGCAAGCATCTTTTAATTTCTTGGCTGCAGTCCCCATCTACGGTGATCTTGGAGCCCAGGAAAATAAAATCTGTCACTACCTCCATTTCTTCCCCATCTATTTGCCAGGAAGTGAGAGGACGGATGCAATGATCTTAGTTTTCTTAATGCTGAGTTTCAAGCCAACTTTTGCACACTCCTCCTTCACCCGCATCAAGAGGCTCTTTAGTTCCTCTTCACTTTCTGCCATTAGAGTGGTGTCATCTGCATATCTGAGGTTGTTGATATTTCTCCCAGCAATCTTAATTCCAACTGGTGATTCATCTAGCCCCACCTTTCTCATGATGTGCTCTGCATATAAGTTAAATAGGCAGGGCGACAGTATACAGCCTTGCCAAACTCCTTTCTCAATTTTGAACCAATCAGTGGTTCCATGCCTAGTTCTCACTGTTGCTTCTTGACCCACATATAGAAACATAGAGACATAGAAACAGAGCGAGTCAGAAGGGGCCTCCCAGGCTATCTAGTCTGACCTCTGGCACCAGCCGGCTCCACTCACGACATGTCCACCATGTGGACGTCCAGCCTATCCTTGAACACCCGCACCGATGGGGCCTCAACGACCTCTCGTGGAAGCCCATTCCACACCCTCGGGGTCCTGACTGTCAGGAAGTGCTTCCTGGCATCCAAATGGAACCTTGGCTCCCTGAGCTTTGCTCCGTTGCAGCGTGTCCTGCCTTCTTCTGCAGAAGAGAACAGGTCTCTACCCATCTCCATGTGACATCCCCTCACATACCTCTATGTCGCCAACATATCCCCTCTGAGTCTCCTCTTCTCCAGGCTGAAGAGACCCAGTTCCCTCAGTCTCGCCTCATACCCCATCCCCGGCAAACCGGCCACCAACCTTGTGGCCCTATGCTGCACTGACTCCAACCTAGCTATATCCTTTCTGTAATGAGGGGCCCAAAACTGAACACAATACTCCAATTGCAGGTGCACCAGAGTCGTGTAGAGTGGTAGTAATACCTCTCTTGATCTAGAAGCTACACTTCTGGCTATGCAACCAAGGGTGGTGTTCACCCTCTTGACCACCGCATCACACTGCTGACTCATGTTTAGCCTGCAGTCAACCAGTATCCTGAGGTCCCTTTCACAAGTGCTGCTCTCCAGCCACTTATCACCTAACCTGTACTTATGACAGCTATTCCTATGCCCCAAGTGCAAGACCTTGCACTTATCTACATTAAACACCATCCTGCTGTCTCCTGCCCACTTCCATAGTCTGTCCAGATCCTTTTGGATCTGGAGTACCTGCTCCTCAGTTGTGGCCACTGCTCCAGTTTTAGGTTTCTCAAGAGACAAATAAGATGGTCAGGTATTCCCATCTCTTTAAGAACTTGCCACAGTTTGTTGTGATCCACACAATCAAAGGCTTTAGCATAGTCAATGAAGCAGAAGTAGATGTTTTTCTGGAACTCCCTAGCTT